CATCAACAACACATTTAACAGTTCCAAACCACATATGTTTGTTGATGCAAAAAACAAATACTGACTGCATTTTTAAAAACGATATAAAAATTACATTATACAATTTAGTTTAATATCTGAACTGTAGTATCTGAAGACTCAAACCTTCAGAATTTGATCCTCTTTCATTTTGTCAAAATACATGCTTTTCAGTATTCGACTGATTAGTGTGTGTAGGCTACTGTAATATAAAATGTTGCCTACATTTTGCTTCACAACTCAAACAAACATAAATTTAGGTTGTTGCACCACAATTTGCTTCTGTTTATGAATCTGTGTAGCCCTTGAGCAATGCTCTGGATTGCCACGTTCACCTATACTTTATGAATGTCTTCAACCTTGTTCAGCAATAAAAAGAGAATCAGGAGTCTGGCATGCTCACATACAGTACAGGGTGTTGTTGGAGGGCACATCATATCATGTTCAGGCAAATTACTTTTTATGGCTTGGCAACAAGCACTGTACATGCCATACACATCAAACAGACAAATACATGCATGCACAAACATATACACACAAATTTAACATCTGGTTATTGTGCGTGGGTGCAAAATGGGCGTGCATGTGTACAGTGCAAGCACAGAACAATCTTTCCCGGCCAGATCTTGGTTTGTTCTTGGCAAGGTCTACTGGGTTACAACAACGCTAGAGAGAGAGAGAGAGAGAGAGAGAGAAAGAGAACACAATGAAAACAGGAAGCCAATTCTTAGATGACAGAAAAAAAAGTCAGGCAGAGATAGTTTGTGTGGTTTTGCAACCACAGTGACATTAGGGAACGGCCTGTACTGTAATAAGCCCTACCAAAAGCAGAAATGACACGGACTGTGCATGACAGAGTGTGCCTGCCAGTAGAATGCTTATGCAACAGGCTATGCAAAAGATGGTACACTGCACAAGTAAGCGTGACAAGATCATAAGACTTTGTAATGCAACCTTTAAAATTAACACATTCGAGATTTATCTATAACATCACAAGATTTATTCCCTTCCAACAACTCTAAGCTACACTGAGCTGGTGAGCAATGTCTTTTCTAATTGGCTGCATATTCAAGTGGCATCATTTGCAGTTCAGCGTATGGTGTGCTGATGTCAAATGCACAGATGAGCATATGGCCAAATTAGCTGGCAAAAGCAGCCACTTAACCTTTGGAGAGAAAGACATGTAGTGGAGATGTAGACAAAAATCCCTAAACACTGATGCCCTTAATTTGCATTAATCACATCATCCTTCTGTTGCTTCTTTAACTTACTGATTCATCATTGTTGGATCAACTGTAATTATTATTTTTATGTGCTACCATTGCTCTGCTAACCTGTGTTGGACTCCTTCCATCTATTGATTTGAGCTCATTGATTGCCCTTGCAGCGACCAACTGGGACATTTTTATGACCATGCAAGTACAATCCCAACTCCATCATGTGCTACCCCTAGACTAATATTAAAGTAAATACACATTTATGTTTTTACTTCTGACAAACTACTCTGTGTTTTTAGCATGCTATTCACTATCACCCTAACAGCTTTTTTTTTAAAAAGCATTCAAAACAACTTTTTAAAGCTGAGTTTAACTAATGCTTAGCTCTGTTGCTAATGCTTTTATATGAGAGACTGTCTTTTGTCTTTTACTGTATTTGTTCCTATTTAAGTAGCCTGTTTAATAGCTCTTTGAGTGCAAGTATGTGCATCTGTTTAACTACTTTTAATTGATTGCTTATGAGTTTGAACTTACAATGTCACAGCTTTTATTGCCACAGCTTACGTGCCCCTGAGCCAGGCACCTGCCTTCTCATGGCCGACAGGTTTAACTGTGATTGTAATTGAGCAGCTCCCAAACGTGAAGGTGTGCAACTGTGTAAGTGTGTTGCTACAGTATGTTTGTAAATGAAGATCAACATCTAGAAGGTAAGAAAAACACAGTCGCATCTATGATTTGCAGTACTATAAATCAGCTTTACAGCGGCATGGTTAACACAAGTAATGACTCCGCCTCACAGACAGTGGTGCAACACTAATACCAGTCTTCTGGGAGGCTAAGAGGCGCGTGCTAAATGGGCCAGGGATAGGATTTTAGTGCAGGCCATGCCCCTGCATGGGGCACAAGGACATAAATTGTCAGGAAATGTCTGCATGGTGCCTTGCTTCAAGGAGAATGAAGTTGTGTAAGGTCACTATGGGGCAAAAGGGGGAGGAAAAGTGGGAGCACACAGCCAGGCAGTCACCCAGCCAGATGCCCGTCACTCTAGTTAGCCAGCTGAGTGCTAAGAGGGGGCCCTCTGTGCGGTAACAGTCACCATCAGCCATTTTTACTGCCAAATTAAAGTGATAAATCTTAAGGCCCCTTTGATTGCAAGAGGGCAAACTTGTTAGTTAGGAAAGACAGGGTAACTGGGATAGAGGAGACACACACTTGACATCAGCTGTTACTTTTGTCACATGTGGTCTGAATTATAGTTCCCCATGAAAAAAGAAAAAAAAAAAAGCCCAAAACACTGACTAGGGGCCCCATTCAAAATCACAAAGTGGAATCTAAAGGCACATTATTTCAGCTTTGAAATAAATCACATCTTTAATTTCACTGTGCAAAACAAACATTAAAAGGTGACATCTCCCTGCTGCACACCAGGAGACACTGAAATAAATAAAAACACAAAAGCTAATGAACAGTTAATAAAACTGATCCACCGCACAACATGAAAGACCAAAGAGAAATAATAAGTAATCTCCAAATGATAAACTTTCCTACTTGGTTAGTGGGGACTACTGTTTCACCCTGCTACAGTTTCAGCCCTTATTGGACATAAAAAATGTTACACAACCTATATTGAGTGTGTGTGTGTGTGTGTGCACGCTAGGAGGTGGAGATGTGGTGATGATCAGGTGCCACATGCCACCAAAGCCGCTTCCCTTTTCGCTTCCCTCTCTGAGACATTACACAACTGTTGTTGCATTGCAGTATTGCAGTTATTTCATAAAAGGCTGCCAAACAGAACAAGTCAGAGAGCACTCCCTACCAATCAAAAAGACTTCCTGTAAACTTCCCGACAGTAAAAAGTAATACAACAGTCCTGTATATACTGTAAACTTGGTCTGTCCTTACAAGGCCTTGCATCCTCTTGATAAAGAAAACCTTCTTTGATATGGTGCCATATTATTAACATTTTAAAAGCACTAACCTCTTAGTCTGTGCACTGCTGATTTTTAAAGCTAGACTAATTACTGTTCATGTTAATCCTAATTTAAACTGCAGTGGTAAGTGTAAGATGTTAAGTATATGCTTTTTCTTCTTCTGTTCTTTTTTGTTTAAGTAAGCATAGTCCTTTGCTGAGGAGTATATGCAAACTATAGTATTTAAGTTGGTCCCTTAGTCTGGGTTTATAGTACCAAGTCAAGTATATGTCAAATCAACAGTCTAGTGGCAATTTAATATCTGACATGTGAAACACATCTAAACCTTTTCTAATCACATTCCCTAAATGACAATTAAAATATATTACAGTACACAGTTGCTTTGCAAAGCCATTATGTCATGTTACCAAAGTTTAGAATCACAATGAGCACTCAAGACACAATGACACAGTCACGAGTCAAAACACTGACAGAAACCTATCCACAGTTTTGATGCAGTAAATCGTGTTCTTCTATTGCAAAAGAGCTCTATAAACATAACTTGTGATTACTGTTGGGTCTCATTGACACTAGGTACTCTAACCACTTCCTTGGCATTATTTAAGAGTGTTTCACTTAAAGTTAACTGCTGTGGGCTTCCCAACAGTGGCAACATTTCACCAAGTAGACGTGATGAGGATTGTGGATTAGCCCACTGCACAGGTCTCACAGGGAAGTGATGGTGCATTCCCTTGCCTGTAATTTCCCCTGACATACTAAGTGCTCATTCTCCCATTTCCCTCAATAATGTGGAGTGCAATGGTGCATTGTCCTGTTTGCTATTACACTTGTTCCGTGTATACAAAGAGTCTAAGCTACAAATGCGAACTGGCATTATGGTATGATGCGGTGACAAGGACCAGAGATTGTAAGCGCAGTGCACATTTGGGGGTTTGTGGGTGTGCTAAGTGTTTTTTGGGTGTAACAACACACACACTATCCCCCACACTCACATCATCCAGCTCAGCGATGTGATGTCATAATGCCACCATTCAGAAGCGCTTCTCATTCAAAATAATGTGTCACAGGCAGAGAAAGGCCTGATTTGTCTGGCCTGAGAGTTCTGCGTTTTTGTTCCTTCTGTGAAAGACTAAATATTTGTATGCTCACACACAGACTTGACACTTGTTGTTCTAGCCAACTTCTTTTTCACAGGTAGAGCATGCATGCTAAGTTTGCAA